TTCATTAGTGTTTAATTAAAGCTGTGTAGTTTAGTTTTCAATCCAGCCAAGTCTCTCTCTTTTTCTCTCTCTCCTTCCCTACCTGGGTGGGAGGGGGAGGGGATCGAGGGTGTTGTTGTAGGAACTGAGTCACACAGTGACAACAACACCAAAGGTCAGACTGTGGGCCAAGATGCCTCTCTCTGTTTAATGTTAATTCTTGTGGAAAATGCACTTGTAAAAGCGCTGTGGGAAAACAGTCTTTGCACAGCACTGACTCAACCTGCACAACCCTAACGTCTCATCTCATCCCCTCAGATTCTCCAAAGACACCAGAAGCTTCTGAAGGTAGTGTAATTTACCTGTGGCCTGAGTTCCATGCACTGCTCACCACACATGTCTCTTGAATTTTCTCAGTGTCTGTCAGACATCAGTCAGCAGCATTAACCTCTCCAGCTTCATCACTATTGGATTATTTCCCTTTGCTCTCCTTAGGGTTTCCCAAGCTCACAAGCAGTAATTCTTTGGGACTTAATCTTTGCATAGGCTACTGAAAGCTACAGATGTGTGAAAGGAACTCTAAAGTTTATACACAATAAAGAATGGTGAGATAGAGAGTAAGTTTCAATTACTGTTTTATTCTTTTGATTGAAGACATAGGTTTTGTAATTCAGGATTTGGGCTGCAAAATGTGGTAATGGACAGGGTATGTATTTGAACAGCTAGGGAACTACTTAATCTGTTTACTGTTCTGGGGACTAATTTTAAACCCGAGGGAGAGTGGATTCATGATCCTTTGGCAGTTACTATTTATTGTACGGAAACAATATCCCCGTCCTTGGAATGTGCAAATGAAACAAGAATATCCCCTTGGTAAAATGTGGGAGTGAAGGGTGGAGAGGAAGCTGATCCATTTTATCTCCAATTTTGATTAGAATAAGGGAAATTAGATGTTTCATCTTTTAATATTTTCAGCCTTGTGAAGAGGGTCAAGACAAAGGAAGGTTCCTGCTTTTTCAGTAGGTGTAGCTAGCAGTGAAAAGTGACTGGGTGGCAGATGTGTCAGTCTTCCCAGACGTGACATACTGTCCTTTGCAAGCCAAACTGTTAATCTGAAACCAAAACAAAGGAGGGGAAAAAGAGTTAGCTTGAAGTAAGGAAAACAGCTGTAGAAAGACAGCAGGAGTAATCAAGCAAGGACAAAAAAACCCCAAAAAGCAGGTAATATCCCTGGTGAAAATGAAGCACCAGGTGGGAAGGAGACAACATGACTCCCTCCATGGCGAGCAGCTCTGCTCTGTGCAAGGGGAAGCCTCGTACCTGTGCCCGCTTGCGGAAGGCTTCCTGTGCAGCCTTCTTGTTTTCACTTTTGCCCACCCATGCGGCCAGGGCAGAGGCTTGCAGGGCTCTGCCATACGAGAAGGTCAGTTTCCAAGGCTTAGGCAGAGGTAACTGGTTCATGGCATTCAGGTTGACAGAAGCCTCCTCCTCGCTCTGACCTCCAGACAAGAAGCAGATGCCTGCAGGGAACAGGTTTTGAGGCTTAGGAATTGAGTGCTCTAGCCACCACCCTGACCTTTACGATCTAGAGGAGCAAGTGTTACAGATGTAGGAGCAATAGTGACAGTGTGAATGGATACATAGGAATGAATCAGGAATCACCAGGAACAGCAGCAGGAACGGTGCGGAGAAGAGTAGTGACAGTTGCTACAGCTACATCCTGAGGGGTGTACTTCTTAGGGCAGGAATCCCCAGCCATCACCATGTTGGGTTTCAGCAGTGTCCCTTCCAGGTACACATGATGATCATTCAAGGCCTTGTAGACAGCAGCCAGAACCTGAAAACAGGAGAATTGAAATCTGCTCAAATCTTCACCTCAACCTATTGTGGAAAGACAGATTATTCCTTGAGAGTGTGAGAAGATCAAACTGAACGTCCCTTGCTCATGAAATTTATCACAGGGGTTGCAGCCCCAGAGATACTACTGCTTTTGAGATGACCAGGACATCAGCCTTCCTATTTACCAAATTTGTCTCTGCAAACTGAGGTACTGAAAGAGGGGCAAGTGGTTTTGCTCCCAATGCTTATTTTTGAGATTACAAATGTTTATACTGGCAGTGTGAGTGGAAATCTACAAGTGTGCTTTCTACTCTCACATTTGTTATTAACTCATTGCCTGACCATGAGCAACTCATTGGAGTGATACAGTTATGAAATACTTTTTGGTCAAAACTCTTGGAGATCTGTGAATGCACTCTGCATAAGATTAGCTACTGATTTATGAAGACAAGGACAGGGGGAGGAATTTCTTACCTTTTCTGTGACATACTGGCAGCGCTGCAGATCATGGTCTCCATCAGGCAAGACTTCTGGCTCCACAATGGGCACCAAGCCATGCTAAGAAAAGAAAACAAGGAAGTCTTTGGAAGTGGGGAAGACAAACTGTCCCTCTTGTCTACGCTGACTTTGCTTGTATTCCTTCTTGCCGCACTGCCCTTCTTCCTCATCTATCCCAACACCCTTGCAGAGATCTGCCTTTCAAGTTACGTAGCATGTTATCAGAGGGAATAGTGAGAAGGAGCAACAGCATCTCAGGAAGGTCCCTGGAGGTTAGATACCTGCTGGCAGATGCTGGCATAGCGTGCCAATGCATTGGCATTCTCTTGGATGGCGAGTTGAGAGGGTGTTGTGCTGGTGATCTTCAGCACTGCACGCCACTTGCCAAAGTCCACACCATCTTTCTTGTACTGGGCACAGCGCTCAGCCAGTCCATCCAGCCCTGCAGAGCAAAGAACAGGGCTTCGCTGAGAGCAGTTCTTCAGGACATAGCTCTGAGAAGTACCATGACACCAGCCAAAGCTGTGGCTAAAGTGTGTCACCCCGTGGCTTTTGCTGCGCCAGTCACAGCTGAGGCTCCTTAGGTCTCTCCTTACCTTGGATGGTAGTTTCCCCATTTGTTCCTGCAAGGGGTGCTGTGCCCTTGTCCAGCTGTGGAGACCAGAAAAATGGGAAGGGTTACAGAGGGGTGGAGATCAGTCTCATCCTTATCTTCCTACCCATGTCTTGTCTGTCTTTGCCAGCTGACTGTGAGTGAAGTGTGGGGCTGAACACACTAGGAGTGCAAAGGAGGGAACAGTTGGAGGAGAGGGAAGAGAAGGACTGAACTGGGTAAGAGGAAGGGCCAGTGTGTAGATGGCTTCAGGGAATGGCTTGAGAGCTTGGTCAGATGCAGAAAGAACTGGATTTAGGTTCCTGCATGGAGCAAGTTAATTGCAGGGCATGAGTAGATGAGAGTTTGTGGGTGAAAAGTTCCTGCATGAAATGTAAATGTGCCCCTCATTAGTTATACAAAAGTGGACCAGAGAATAATGGCAGAGACCCACTAGTGATTGTTAAAACCAAGTGCAAAACAGGAAAAAAGAAGTTCTTGGCAGGAGATCATGCAGCCCTATCAATAATTTTCATTGGAAGCAGGGTTTGGAATATTCTGCCAGCCAGACATGTACAGATACTCACCTTTATTCCCACCACAATGCCTTTTTCTTTGATGAGAGTTGGGAATGGCTTTCCAGTGCTGTCCTTCTGGTAGAGAGTCTCGTGGAAGAGGATCACTCCCCCAATGCTCTGGTTGATGGAAGCATCTGAAGTGAAGAGGATCTCTCGAAAAGCCCGGCGGTTCTCCTCTGTGTTCTCCACGTTGATCCTCTGCAGCCTGTTGCCCATGGTACCTAGTAAGGTGGACAAAGGTCAGACAGAGTTATGAGGCTTGGTCCCAGTATCTAGCAATGAACTAGATTCATTACTAGATACTTCAGTTCAGAGCTTCCCTTCTTGACCCATAGTTTGTCAGCTTTTGCTGCTATTAATGCAGCCCTGCCTGGCTGAGTTGTTCCTGCTCAGTCAACAGTTTATAGGTGTCTCTGATTTACTCCACTGGTTTCAAAGATGAAGCAAACTTAAGAGAAAAAGCCTCGGTTACTGTTAATTGTTTGATATCCAGAACTCACCCACTGATTCATCTGCAGCTAAGATTCCCTTTCCTGAAGCCACAATCCGCTGAGCAATGTCTGACAGAGCTTTCTTCTGCTCTGCAGACAGTGCTGGAAACTGGTGGGTCATCTTGACTGATCTGTGGAAGAGAATTACTGTTAAAAGCTGGGGGAGACTATACACGTGTGTGAACACACATAAGTGTGAACCCAGCATGCCACTCAGGTATTTCTGTTTGAGGGCTCTTGGTGTTCTTCTGGTCCCTGTTCTTGTAGACACATGCACAGAAATACATTTGAGTCCTTCTTGGCTTGGTGTGTCAGTCAAACCAGAAGAGAGAAATGCAGGAGCCACATCCTAACACATCCTTTCACAACCAAAGGTGGAAAGACTGAGTTACATTAATTTGCTCAAAGACTAAAGACAAGTCAATCTGCCTGTAAAAAAAAATGCAGCAAGCTAACAATTGTGCTAATTGCAGAGTCTGCAAACTTCTTTGCAAAGCACCTGAAATCCAGGCTCTGTCTTGTTTTGACAAAATGTTTGATCTTATAAAGTTTGAATTATATGGCATTAAATTACAATTTTTCAGATCATCTGAATTATCCAAGTTACTTCCCTGTGGCTACAAGTCTGTGCGCCTGAGACATACAGACTCTCTTCCCTCTTTTTATCATATGCTATAGCTAAAGCAACACCCATGATTTTATGAGCAGGTGGTAAATCCCTGACATTAATCATTAAAAAACCCACAAAATATCTCCAGTAATAAGATTTCTTCCAGAGAAGCATGTCTCTTGGTAGCATCTGTATTTTCAGTCCTAAACTCGGCCTTAAAGGGAAGTAAGAACATGCTGTTTCCCATTTCACCATGTGCCAGAGATAGCCAGCAAATACATGATATAAGCTCGTATGCAGGCAAGTCCTCCATCCTTCTTCCCTGCACACAGCTAGAAGTTGTCAGGGAATCCTTGTCCTGCTCTCCTTGCTGAAGGGCAAACTCGGGAGATATCACGGGTCTGGCTGCTACTCATGATAGGGTAGATGCCAACATCAGTGGAGGTCTGTGCACCATGCCAAATTTTCTGGCAACAATACTATCACAGTACTGTGACAGCTATAAATCCGTGTCTCTGATCTACAGTTGAAGTTAGTTTGGTATTGGTATGGTTTATGCTGCATAGCTCATTGAGTTACCCTGTAGCCTTCCCTATCCCTCACCTGCTTTCTGTGCCTGATGTTTCTCTTAGAAATAAGTGGCATATTATTATGATAACTGCAATAACAGCTTGTGTTAAAAGCACTTCAGTCAAAACCATAGCACTGTTAAATAAATTGCTATGCAAAATTCTGAGGAATCACTCCAGCAGTTCACAATCTCTGTGGAAAAGACAGGAAAAACATGATCTGGCGAGACTATGATCTTGTCCAAGGTCAAAGCTAATGAGTTGCTAAATGAGTAATGGATTTCAGAGTTGCAGTTGGGACATATGCAAATGAGTAGGTATATCCAGATAATCTTTAATCCAGCTAGCTGAATTAGATGATCATCAGTCATCCTAGTTATGTTATTATTTATACTTTCACTCCAGAAATGCAATAAGCAATGAGCCCAATGTCTGTTGAATCTTGCTTCCTCCCAGTGTTTGCATAAAGATAGCAAAGGGACAGTTATCACTCAAAACCAGGCTGCAAAGCAAATTGCCAAAACACGTGAATATGTGGATAAAATTCCGTGGATAATGATGGTCCAAGTGAGTATACTGAGTGACTGAAACAAGAGAGTGTAGCTCTACAATGATGAGCAGCAGATGAGCTCCAGTCTCCATCCAAGTACCCCACTGAGTGTGTAGGAGTGTGTGGAGATTTGCCAAGAGGCTGCCCAAAATGATCTGTAAGGCCATTGTGAGTGGTTCCCATCCACCTCACTGAACTACAAGGATGGATAAAATGTTTCTAACTGAAGAAACAAGAGCAAAAGAGCAGTTGTAAAGCTTATTATAATTCTAGGGTCCAGAATGTTCAAGCACCCTTAATTAAGGACTTTATTTTTCTGTGATTCAGAGGATGAGGAGCATAATCTCTGAGGATCTTCCCTGCTCGATTGAGAAAAGGGTGTCTCTGTGGTAAGGTACTGCTCTGAACATTTCAAGGAGAGTGGAGACACTTAAGTAGCACTTCATACAGTTGCCTTGTGAAGAGTAAGCTCCCAGCACATCCAGAGAAATATTAATGTCCCTCCTTAAAGAGCTGTGTATGTCACCTTACAGGTCCTGAGGAAAAATGGTTGTAACCAGGCTGCCAAAGCTGCACAGCTGATTTAATTGTTCCAAGAACAAAGCCTATTTGCCTTGTTATTCTTCTTTATTTGATTAATTTGACAACTTTTCCAGGCAGGAAAAAGCTTAAAGAAACTGTGTTCTCAGTAACAGTATCTAGGAGTTGTTCCACCACTCATGTTTTTCCATAATTTTTATTTTCATTTACCAGTTTTAGGCTGTGGGCTGGTATCATAATGTCACAAGCTCAAGTGATTTCACATTGGTTTGACATTTTATTAATACAATGTCTTTGTGGTAACGGCTTACATAACATTTTTTAAAAGTGGAAGAAAAAAAACCACAAAAGAGCAAAACTTCACTGAACACACACACAAAAAAAGCTTTGTGGCTGCTTTGGGTGTTTATCAGGTTTCAGCAGCTCCTTAAGCAAACAAAGATCTTTGCTCAGCCCCCAGCCTGTGACCAACAGGAGGTGGGGGTGGGAGGAACAAGGGCAGTGCAGTTTTAAAAGTAATTACTGCAAGTGCTGAAGTCTCAAGTTATTCTCAGCTACCATAATGGAAGACTGCAGGGGAAATATCCTCACAGATACCAGCACAAGCACTGCATCCTGTTAATATTAATAGTGAGAACCAAAGGGCAGAGGTAAGAGAACCTGCAGAAGGAACAAACTGTTACATTCCACTTCAGGTCATCTTAGAACCTGTAAAACTTCATTGGCATTTTTTCTTTCTGATCACCTCAAGTGACTGGTGTATTCTAATCTCACAGAAAATCTCACCTGAGTCCTGGTGTGCAGAAATAGAAGGATTGTATTGTAATCTGTACATTTTTCTCTTGCATCTCCCCATTGCCTTCTTTTATAAAATCGGTTGCAGAAGTGCAGGACCAAACTGAAAACACAGTTTCTATCCCATGCATGTAACTTTTCCTGTTCAGTTACTAGGTAAACACAGACCTTCAACGTCACCTCTGACAGACAGCAGTACAAACCACACTATGCACGGAAGAGATTCTGCTTCCAAAGAGCAGGTTTGAAGAGGCAGAAGTCCCATGTACAAACATCAAATACAGTTGATAGTGAGAGTGAAAATAATTCAAAAATTTAGCCCATCACATGTAGGCACAGTGTTAACCTGACTGGATTTACTTCACTTGTATGCTTAGAAGAGGCAGATACATAGTGTCTTATGCTCATTATATCCTTATATCTTCATTGCAGGGGATAGGCCTCACTTCTTTATTGAGATCCATGAAAAAAGCTACTTCTGAGTAAGCCTGATTGCCTGGACATTGGGCAAGCTGATAGGTCTGAATGGCTGGGGCTGCCTGGATCCATCCTGCTGACAGAGCACATTCTTATCTAGCCTGCAGATGATACCAAGTTGGCAGGACTAGCTGATATGCTTGATTGCTGGGCAGCCATGCAGAGGACACGGGACAAGGGGTGGGAAGAGACCAAGAGGAGCACCATGAAGTTCTGCCAGGGCAAATGCTCAGTCACCGCCAAGGGGCAGAGCCCTGGCAGTGATCCCACCTGCCAAGGGGACAAGGAAACAGCTCCTTGGATAAGGCCCAGGGCCCAGTCTGGCAGAAGGCTGAAGAGGAGCCAGCAACAAGGGCCAGTAGCATTCTCTGTGAGCAGGGGTCCAGCCCAGAGAGCCAGGGGAGGACAGGGATGATCCCCCACTGCTCAGCACTCTTTAGATCACCTCTGGGTACTGCATCCAGTGTTGGATCCACTGTTCCTGCAGTACAGGAAAGACATTTACAAATTGGAGTGAGTTCAGATGCCACTAAGAAGGCCAGGGGCTGAAGCATTTGCTCTGGTGAGGAGAAGGCTGGAGGGGTTGGCTCTAGTTCAGCCTTAGGCAGAAATGGCTCTGGGAGCACCTCTCAGCAACACTTACACCTGCAGCCTGGTGATAGAGGCAGAGCCAGGCACTCCACAGCAGTACATGATGGGAAGGTGAGAGACATAAGCTGAAACTAGAGATTCACACTCCATAGGAAGAACTTTTTCACTACTGGGACAAGCAAGCAGTAGAGCAGATTGACAGAGAGGCCATGATGTCTCCATCCTTGGAGGTTGTCAAGACCCACCTGACTAAAGCTACAAGCAGCCTGGTCTGACCTTGTGTCTAAGCCTGCTGTTGAACAGGATGTTGGACTACAGAGCTTCTGAATTACCCTGTGGCTCTTTGTGAGTACTTGCTTTAGGGAGCTGAAGTGGAAGCAGTGCCTCCTGTATGTATGAAGGAGCTCTGAGTGAAAAACAGGATGTTTCCCTCTTTATTTTTGCAGTGGGAGCGAATGCTTCAGTACAGCCAAACCTTTCATTTCTGGGTTCTAAAAAGTAAGTGAAGGGTATGGGACAAAACCAGATACTCAGACTTCTGTCACCTAGAAAAATCAGCAAATTTTTCTGATTGACATATTCTTTTCACCATCTTGATAGGTCATTTGGGTCATATAAGGTGGTAAAATGCCTGGTTGATATTTGCACTCTTTATGAGAGTGTGAACAAGGGTTTTATCCATCTTCATTCTTTGTCTGGGGATCTTGCTTGAACATCCTGTCTCAAGTGGATAGTGGTAGGAGAGACCTGCAGTTCTCTGTCCTGATTGCCATGTTAGCCTCAAACCTATACTCAAGCCATGGACAAAGGTACCCCTATTTCCTCTCTCTAGCAAGCCTGAAAGGAGGTTATGTACTCAGGAACCAGTCAGTGCAGAAGCACTCCTGGAATACTCTTGGTGGCTAGAGATGGCTGTGGTGGCAAGAAACTATTTCTTGGAAGTAAGTGTGAAGTTAGGGTGAAGCTCCTTCTCTCTCAGGGCTGGGATCTCTTCAGAGAAGTTAAATGCTGCTAGACTTGCACAATAATTCAATTCTTCTAATGCCCCCACAGAAAGCTGGGGGAAGCAGTGAGGTTTTTGAGTGGGCTAAATAGTTTTGGGTACTAAGCATGTACAATAGTTGAGAAGTGATGGAGCATCACAGATTCAGTGAGTTTATTAAGCAATTTCCTGAAGCTGGCTGTTGACAGCTGGAAATGTTACAGCCTAAGGCAAAAGCAGACTACCTTACATCCCCCTGTCAAAGAATCTTATCCACTCTACTGCACTCATACTTCAGAAGAAGCTGCATAGGAAAGACAGATAATTACACTTCTGTCAGCACTGGTGTTTTTAAGGACCAGCTGCATGCTCCAGTCATTCTCTTTTCTCCTTGCATGAACATAAATTTATCTATTCCACAAGCATAAACAAAACAACACAGCAGAAAGTGATGCGGGTAGGTTACAGCTCTAGCCCCCTTAGACTAAAGGTTCTCTGACTCCAGGAGTTCTGAGTGACTATGCTAGGTTAGAAAGCCAGATTTAGCAGCAAATGGCTCACGTTGGAAGATCACTGCAGAATGGCTTCTTGCAAGCTGATCCTGGAAAGAAAAACAAACCACAAAACAAACAACAAACCAACCCCCCACAGCCCACTTTGAACATGTTGAGTCTCAGCTGCTGGTACACATGCCACCCATACAGTTTAGACATTAAAACATTATACTTACTTGTCTGTGGACAGAGCCTCTGCTGCTACAAGTTCCCGGTGAGGTGGTTGCAGGCGAAGAGACCCAGTCCCTCTAATCACTAGCTTTTATAACATTCTTGACAGAGGTTGTTTGTTTTTTTTTTCCTCCACTCCTTCATGTTCCCTCCTCCCTAGGCTGGTTGGGGAGATGTCATTGCCCGAGGTCATTATTGGCTGTCAGACCACAATCACACACAACCAATGAGTCCCAGTCCTGCTCCTGGGGTTCCTCCCCTTTCAGCTGCCTGAATATATAAGGCCATCCATGATGTAGTGAAACTGGGATGTTTTCCATTTACTTCAAATTATTCCTCCTTTTTCTAAAGCAGACTGAGAAGAACTGGAGATTGGTTGGGGGATATTGGGCATAACTTTCTGTTTAGGGGTTAGATCTTCTGGAAGCTTATACTAAGGACACTGCACAGTGCACAGGAAAGGTAGAAAATAAAATGCAGAAACAATGCAACAGATCTTTAGTCGACATGAGGTACTGTCATTTCAGTGGCTCCATAAGTGTTAAACTGATCTGCCTCACTTGAAAATTTATCATGGAAACATATTTTCCTTTTCTTGTTAGTGTATGAAAAGGCAAAAAATTAGAGCATTACTGAGAGTTACAAGTTCTGATTTCCTTCAACACAGCATATGTGTGAGAATGATGGTTATGAGAAAAAATACATCCCCATTGAGGTGCACAATTGCAAACCAAATTTTCTACCAAATTCCATTGCAACACCTACCTGTATTACAATGACATACAACCTTCTCAGTTGCCTAAGCAATATTTTTCTGTGAAAAACATTAGTGCTCTGTAATGGCCATGTCAGCATGTCATTTTATATGAAATCACACTACAGATATTCACTAAATCCAGGTAGGTAGACTTGATTTAATTTTTTCTTTTATATTTTTCCCCCTACTGCAGGTCAGTACTCCTGGAGGGAAGTACAGCAGAGGGACTGTTGGGCAAACATCACACCCTCAACAACACCACTCTGAGACCTTGGACATTAGTATGTCTTTACCACAAAGACCCAGTGTTTGTCTGAAGAATGACGTAGTTTCTCTGTTTTTTTGGCTCACGTAGTGACACCTTTAGCCTTTACATGGACACAGTGAGACATTTCTCATCTCACTGAGCAATGCTGTCTTCACAAGGGAACTTCCTCCTTGAGCGTGTCTCCTCTAGAACTGCAAGCCAAAGTCAATGCCTGTAGGTAATCTTAACACCTTACATGCTGCCAGCTGCAGCACTCTGATAGTCAGCAGAGAAGCTTCTGACAAAGCTGAGGATACAGTCTACTTGAAGGCCTTGCATTTGCATTGCTCTCATACAACATTCCTCTTCCTGATCTGTATTTTTTGCTGAAGAATGCTGTGGCACCTACATTCAGTTTCTCCCGTCCTATCAGGAAGATTAACCCAATGGTGTAATAAAGTTTATCTGCCACAAACAGAGGCATCTAGTATGGATGGAAAATGCTTTTCATTAAAACATTATCTAAGAGTCTCTGGAGACCAAGAAGTTGTAGTACTAATGGTCTTCTTCACAGCCACAGAGAAAATCAGTCCTGTATTTCCTGGTCTCATTAGAAACTGTCACAAGTAGGAAAGCACTTAGAAGGGTTTTTTTCCCAGTGTCATCTGTGATATGGTCTGACAGACTATGAGAGAACAGACGAGGGGAGTCTTCTTGAGAAAAATAGTGTTTGACATTTAGAAATTACTTTAGATAATGTATTTCAGACAACCTTACATTCTTTACTCTTTCAGAAGTATGCAGATGTATTTTCACTTGGGTAGTGGCTGGTATGTGCTTTTCTAGTACTTCTGAGCCAATATCCAGCACTTTTAGCACCAGGATTACAAGTCCTAGCAGGCACTGTGAGGACTGAGGAGAAAACAAAAGTGAATGGACATTATGGTTAATTTTTTCACTTCATTGAGGAATGAGAGCCTTTCCAAGCAATCTGGAATACACAATCAAACTAGATAATGTCACTGTAAGGTTCCATGCTATTAACATGCAGAACCATGACACCAACCCTGCCATGCAGAAGATAGTAGTAGAGTGATACTAAAAAGACACTGGAGAAGAGTGCATACTTTCATCATCACAGTTATGTAATCATAGTTTTTGGGAGCCCTTATACCTCTAAAAAATAAGATATAGTGATATCATGTGGCCTTAAATAGTAACAGGAGTAAGCTTGCATTCTGAGGGGAATGCAATGTACTTGCATTCAAACAAGCAGCTAACCTGCCCCATAAAGAAAAATCAAGTCATTGCCTGCACTAACTATTCTACAGTAAAACTGGTATATTATCCAGCTTGCACACCTTCTTCACTGAAGCAGTGTTTGAACACACAGTATTGCCAACTCTCTCAGCTTTCCAGCAACTCAACTAATTTTGGAATGGTTTCTTCTTTTGTTTAAGATTTTTTTTTTTTTTTCCAAAGTAACATGATGCAGCCATAGGGCTGCAGCTGGCAAGAGGCTGTCTCCTGGAGTGAGTACCCTGGGTAGAGGTGGCTACATCTAGACAAAAAGAGATACTCAAGAGACTGAATTTGTGGCCATGGACAGCATGACTTTGATACAGGCATCGCAATACAGAAGACCAGGACACCTTTGGTGGACATGAAGTATGAGGAACACTGAAGTGTTAGTGGAACATGTTATAAAGATGCAGGTAAGGAACCAGATTTTGAGGTTTCAATAGAAAGCCTGGTTTAAAAGCAATGGGTAAAAATTCTAGAACTGCTTGTTTCTTCAGGTTGATGAGCGTTTTTTTTCTGTGTGGTTTCAGCAGTATAATTCTGATACTGATTTTGCTTTAATTACACTTTAAGAAAGTAAATCTGAAGAGAGGGAAACTGTAGTACACCTGAGAAAGAAAGAGGAAAGGGAATGAAATGGATGAAGCAATTTCAGGGCTTACATGATCGCCAAGAGAAAAATGAGAAAGGTACAGCTTCCCTCCGTACTTCAGTAAATTAAGTACTATTAATCTTATCAACACTTTTTTTTTAATGTGGTTAGGCCTGTAAAAGGTTTTGAAGTGGAATGGAAAAAAACACTTGAAGCTGGAAGAATGTCTGAGTATAACACACATCCACATGAAAAACACCTGGCTCTGTGTGCCCCAGGAGAGTGCTGGCTGCGTGACAGGGTTAAAGTCTAACCAGAGCAGCCTGGCACAGTGGATTCTGCCTCCTCCTCACCTCTCCACACTGGATGTTTCCTGTTTTCTGTACTCTTGCAGTCTTGCTTAACTGTCTCAAAGTCCAGCTTGTTCATCCCTATCTAATCAGAGGTATTGTTTATTAAGTGGTTTGTTTTCCCCATTCACCTACAGCCCTCACCCCAGTGCAGAGAGCCTGGCCTTTAACCTCACTGAAAGAAATCACTTGTGTATCTGGCTCCAGAGCAGTGTCAGCATGTCAGCAGACACGCACGTCAGAGAGGGCATGGAGGGTGTTGAGAACTGACTCCAGCCCCCAAAAGCACTGAGGGGGCTGCACAGGAGGGGTTTGCTTGCTCTTCATTCTTTACATCTTAAAGGTGGGCTGCAACAAACACTGTGACTTGGAATGATGACACGGTGAGCAGTAACATTACTGTTATCAAAACCGAAATCTTCGTAAAAATTCAATAGTGGGGACAGCAAACAAGGATACAGCTTCAAATCAAGCTGCCAGTGGCCACATCTCTGGGCTGTAACAGGACAGGATGATGAATGCAGTAATGACACTGATTGCTATGACTTTCTGTTGACATTTTAAAAAAGCAATAGGCAAACAACTGGCTGCTATGATGGGAGGAACTTAACTGTTTACTACCTGTTTATCTAAGCAGCATGTAATCCCTCTAGAAAGTACTCTTAGGTGTTGCATGTTAGCTTTGCCATACAGTTTGCAAAATACAGATGTCTGAATTGGACCAGTGTGCTGAAAAGACTATTGTAGATGGTAGATGTAAATTTCTGCAAACTGGAGGAACACAACACTATAGCAGAAATTCAAAGAGAAAGTAGGCACTGAGATGCATAGCTGGCAAGAGCATTATATACAGGGCAAGAAAATATGCTATTTTTCTTCTTCAACATTTAAAAATCATGGGGATGTGACATTAATAGCTTGCCATGCAGAACAAAATCTTGGAAACAGGCACTAGTATTGCTGATGCTTAGCCTAAAGCTGGACAAGAAAACTGGCTAATGGGGCAGATTCTCTCAAAACATGAAGTGTCAGGATGGATAGTTCATGGAAATGAAGTTAGTCTAGCAACAGGGACACATGCAGTGAAGAAGCACAGACTGTGGAGTACCTAATTCTGTATGCATTTTTGACAGATGTATGTTATACTGCGGATCATTCGGAATCATATGTTGGACACCACCAGTCTGCTGAATTTGGATACAACCTCTCTAAAGCTGGTGTGGAAATACTCAAAAAGAAACTCTAGCTTTGGGAGAGAAACTGCCAGTGTCTTTGTAACTACAACTGTCTCCCACAGAAGATTACCTTTGTTATTTTGGGAAATACACAGCCTCCCTATACAAAAGCATAATAAGGTTAAATTTCACCACTTAGAGCTTAATTTTACCCCCAGTCCCCTCCAAGCCTCAATACTTGATTGGAGAAGGACCTGAGCAACCTGGTCTAGTAATGGCCTTTGAGCAGGCCATTGGACCAGGGACATTCAGAGGTCCTTTTAAACCTGAATTGTTGAAAGTTCCAAATTATTACATCCATGAAGATGCAGGCAGATGCATAAACACAAAAGTATCTTTCTTAATCAAATATAGTAAGGAAAGAGATAGATCTGCCAGTCAGGAAACAGAACAGTGGCATACAGAAAGACGAGACAACAGTTTTAACAAAAAGGTTGTTTATTTGATAGAAATTTTGCTTGTATGTATCTTTAGAAAGGAAGTAATTCACCCTGCATCCAGCCAAATTGCTGTTGAAATACCCAGTCTGGCAATTCACAGCTCCTCACAACTGAGAGGAGAGCTTTCTCGTTCTCTCTTCAAATCCAGTGCCTTCTCACTAAGATGTTCATACTTACTGTAGTTAGAAAATCCCCTTGGTCTTCTAATCTAATAGAAATTTACCAATTTATGATCTGTGTTCTGCCAGAATCATGCTTCCTGTGGACACACCTTGGAAACAAAGGTAGTTTTTGTTTAATTGATTAACTTAAACAATAATGTCTCCAGTCCTTCTGTCTGGCCCACCAAGAAACACTCATCTTGTGCAAGCAGCACTTGCTGCTTTGACAAATAGTCTCCAAACTATTGCGAATGAAACAACAGTCAAGAAAATCCATGTAATTTGTTTCAAAAATAGTCACAGTTTGTTTAATGTGAATAAAGCCAAACTCGTAAGGCTGCGTTTCAAGGAGTTAATGCTAGGCCTTGAACTTAGGTAGCCTGAGATATGATGGCAACTCAGCTCTGCTCCCCTGATAGAAGAGAGAGGGAAAGGGCTTGTGTGTTTGAAACAGCACTTTTAGCCTGAACTGTGGAACAAAATCCAACAGGATTTCAGAACTCAGAGTAACCTCCCATTTTCTGTTCCAAGGGCAAAGTACGCTTCTCTAACTTGTCATTTCTAATAAAGCCTGTGGCACAGAAAACAGAACCAAAATCAATGTACTTGGGAAAGTTCAGAGGCAGCAGAAAAAAAAATGTTTGCCTGAGATGCCACATTTGCATGGAGGGCAGCGAGCAAGTATCTGAGTAACTTGGAAACAGCCCCCAGCAGGCTCAGTAAAACAAGCTCTTGTGTTGTAAAGGTGAATTGGGCACTTCGGAAATTATTCCAGAAGGACCCAAAGAATTTATTGACCTGCTCCTTTAATTCATTCAACAGGTTTATCTGAAACTTTCTCACTGGCAGGTTCAAGTTGTAGGACCTCTGCATCTTGTTTGGTCTCCCAGTGAACCTCTCTCACCTCTTACGCCCTGAAAATTGTCTCTTAGTTTAGAACAAATTCATGTTCTTAATTTTCAGCTGTGAAGCTCAGAGAATTATTTACCTCCCCTGGACTTCTGGGATGATAAATAAAGTACTACTGGGCAAACAAGGAAAATAACTTAGAGACAAACAGATAAATCATTTCCCACATCAAAACATTTATTAACTGCACATAGTTAGTTGGTTCCTTTTCTAATTTTTTCTTTTCTAATTCTTTATTTTCCAAAGTTTCTTTATTTCTTTTCCTTGTTCCTTTTTCCTTTCACTGTCCTATTTATTGTACATTGCTGTGTGATTTTCTTTGCAAGAATGAGTACGAATGGACCCTTGTGAAAAGAACTGGGCATTGTCCTGGATTTGTACAGTACAAAGAGAGTGAAGAGAAAGCACACTGCACTGAAACATTCAGAGCTGAAGATGCATAAACAAGTTGTATTTCCTTACACACACAGGCACTTAGTGGAATAAATATACAATGACACTCAAATCCTGACATCTTAATGATACCAGAGTAAAGCCTGAGAATACGTTTGCCCACCTGCCACTGTGTGACCACTCTGATATCTTTGGGGGTTTTCAGCAGTTGGGAATAAATCATGGTTCTGCCTGTGCAGCTTTTCCTGTGTTTCCTGACAGGAGAGGTACTTCGCTTTTGGAATGACGTAGCATCCATAAGCAGTTTTTTCTCACATCTGATAACCAAGGGTGTTATAAAAGCTTGCCAGCTGATTACTAAGAGAGCAGATCACTGCTCTGTGTTGTGAAGCCATTTCTAATTGGCTAACTTGCATTATGGACCTGTGTTGTGGAACCAATACTCATCACTTGCTGACAGCTGGAGGTCTGCAATGTCATTTGCTTTCATCTTTCAGGAGTTTTACGTCCTTTGCATCCACAGCCAGACTTGTTAAGAGCTGAAGGCATAAATTGCCTGGAAGACACTGGGGGAGAGGAAAATCAAAGTCGAACTCTTCCTTCACAAAAAAACCCCTACCAAACCCCAACCAAAACTTGACAAAAACAGTCTACTTGGTTGATTCCAAATATAGGAATATTGTTTCAAAAACCCTTCAACCAAACCTCACATTAAAGTGAATTTGATGCAAAGCCCACTAAGGTCAAAGTGAGCTCTTCATTACACATAAACAAGTGTGGTACCAAGTACTTATCCCAAATGCCTAACAACCAGAGCACATTAAATTAATGTCAGTATCAAAGTGGCCCTTTCTGTGTTGTGCTATTCTTGCTTGGGTTTAGGAGCAATTAGCTACTTGCAAAAATAGTGCAATACAGCTCCAAAATGAAATGAGGATCCTGCAAAACAGCAGCACATAATCTAATCTTTCCTTTGCCTCTGTGCTGACATAAAGTCAAGGTAAATTAATGTTGAATGTCTAAGTCCAATCAGCAACTGATAAGGCCTCTTTTAGCAACTAAAGCTAGTGGTGATAGCAACCAACACGGTAGTCATCCTATGTTGTTTATAGTGTCTAATGTAGCAAGTAGTAGAGGGAGAGAATAACAAAGGCTTTGTAAAATCTGAGGAATCTAGGTGAAATTTGTGGGAAAGTTTATGTAAATCACTGCTGCTTTTTGAAAGGTCTGCTCAAAACCACAGCTTTGAAACACAGAGGTCAGAGATCAGACCTTAGTAAGGATGGTAAAAATAGAGGGGGTTTCTCCTCACTAGCTTAAATGTGAACCATTCACTTTGGTCAATGTTTCTGTTGCTCTAGGGTGATGATTTCTGCCAGTGTAAAGGCAGTACAGCTGCTTGTATTGGTGTGAGAGCTTTTCCTCAGGAAAGATTAAGGAGAGAAGAAAATCACAGAATCACAGAATCCTAGGGGCTGGAAGGGACCTTGAAAGATCATCTGATCCAACCCCCCCTGCCAGAGCAGGATCACCCAGAGCACATCACACAGGAACGTGTCCAGGCAGGTTTTGCATGTCTCCAGAGAAGGAGACTCCACAACCTCTCTGGGCAGCCTGTTCCAGTGCTCTGTCACTCTCACAGGAAATAAGTTCTTCCTGATATTCACACGGAACCTCCTGTGCTCCAGTTTGCACCCATCGCCCCTCGTCCTATCACTGAATATCACTGAAAAAAGCCTGGCTCCATGAGCTGCAGCTTGAATCCCCCACTCTCCCTCCACACAGTGCATGCTGATTAGCTCCCAGGGTACATCAAAGAGGGTCTGCATGTAGGCAAGTTCATTTTTTTTTTTTTTTCAGAAACAGTTATTTCCTCTCCAC